CAACTGAGTTAAAGACCACATTCTTCCAGGACATTTAAAGCAATCCAAGACTTTGTAGCAAACCTGGGCACTGAAGTCAAATGGCAGGGCTTGATTAAGAATTGGCTACCTAGGTATCTCCAAAAGGCTTGTTTTTGTTCAGTAAGAATAGTTTTGAAATGAAATTAACAATCTCACAGAGAACTTGTGATGCCAAGACTATATATATATATACAGTTGAATTCCAATAGGAATCACTGGTGGGGAAGATTAAGTATGTAAAGTGCCTGACTGGGAGAGGCACTAAGTTAATGCTAATTTTCTTTTCTTAGTTCTTATCCGCTTGTGGTTATGAAGCAGTTTATGACAGCTTTATTTTGCTCTACAAAGAGGTGAATGTTTTTTAATAACATTAACATATATTGGGGTTACTAAAATTAACATACAAATGTCTACTAATACAGAAAAGAAAAAAATATTTTTGAGTTTTATTATCATGATGTATAAAAATTTGCCCTTGTTATTATTTTGTTGAGTAAATATGTTAAGAACACTTACTCTATAATAGGATATTTTGAGTATTGTGTATCTCTTTAAAAATTTATTTTGTTAAATATAATGGCTAAGGGAAAAGTGACAATCTTATATTTCTGTGTCAAATATTTAGGGTTATTGCTAGTAAAAATGACTCCCAAATTGCTCTGACATAGATTTTCCAAGCATATTGCTTGGAATATTTTTCAGATCATCATAAGCCTCATCAGTGAAGCAGCAAGTGAAAAGAATGTATTTACTGTTTTTCTGCGAATGTCTTAGATCTTCTGTGCTGGTATTTTAATGGGCAGTTTGGGAGTTAATGTAGGCAATTTGGGATGTGTGATGATACACACACAGATACACATTAATAGTGCATACATATATGTAAATGATAATGATCAATATTGCTTGTAGTGGAAGTAATAGAAGTGAAGACCTCTTAAATCTTTGTCTTCTATTCACAAATATTGTTAGCATATAATAGTATCAGTTATAGAACTTCCGTTATAGAAGAGAAACTCAGTGAGCAGAAAGTCTGGTAAAACACATCTCATGAAAAAGCTGAGCAAGGTCATCAGAGCACTATTACTGACTCCTTGATGGATTGTAGAGTTGGGTTTGTAATACTGATTTTGTTTTCTGTGATGGTATTTCATATGATGGAACCTATTTGTAATGGAATGTGAGGCAGTGATAAAAAGGGAATTTGGAAGCTAAATAGATTTGTAATAGTTTAGGTCTGAAAGGCACCTTAGCAGTCATTCTCTCCAGTAATCCCAGTTGACCTCTGTCACACTAAAGCGCAAACATAGAAAACTTGTTAATGTCACCCAGTCAATTACAGTTGGAGCTACACTGAACTCAGGACTTTTGATCTCCTATTCACTGTATTTCCCTTATACCACGTTTTATATTGGCCTGAATACAGACAGTGTTTCCTTTAAGTACTTTTCCATTAATTGACTTAAACTTCTTGACTTTTGTACCTGTTATGTGTGTAAGACATTGTAGTTTATTAGATAGGATATGTGAATTGTTGACTTATCTTTACCAATGTCTTGCTAATTCATATATTTGTTATTTTCTTTGTTTATACTTTTTCTGCTTTCGTTTTTTAATCTGTAAAATTTTATGCAGTATTGACCTGCTTTGCATTCTCTCACCAGTTTGTGAAAGTCTTCAAATTTTGTTTGCTAAAGATAATGCATGGAATTGTATAATAACTTTGTGAAGGATCATATATATCATCCAGTCTGGGGTCTCGTTTTGTAAATGAGGAAACTGAGGCTAACTGAGCCCAAGACATCATCTCTTTTCAGTGTTAACCTGCAACTGGAGACCAGGCCTCTCTGTCGGGCTAGAGGATGTTCAGGTTGACCAACAAGTATCAGTCTTTGGTGACACAGACCTGGACCTGAATTGTGGTTGTTCCACTAGCTTTGTGTGACTGGAAAGTTACCTTGCTGTCACCAACCTTTGATATGTTTTTATTTAAATTACTGCCTAAAAGTGAAGCTGTTCATAAGGAACTACAAGTGCATAATGAATGTAATTTGTTTGTTAAAAAAATTTAGAACTTGAAGGAAATAATTTGGTTGGTGCATGTCCCTTTAAAACGATCTTTTGTTAGAACCAATGCTTTTTTTTTTCCTTATGTAAAGTCATCTTTGGGGGCTGTGAGCCTCAGAGACACCCTTTTTTATTTAAATGATCTTCACCAAAATGTCCGTGGTAATCTGTGGTGATGATTTTTGTTGTGATTAAGTTGCCTTTTTTATATTCTAATGTATTAAAAAATGATATGTACAATGAGGATGTGTAATGAGTATTGGGGGATGTTAATTTTATTTAGTATTTGAATTGGTCCAGTTGGTTTAACTTGATTAAGCTTGTTTATACCAGTGTGGGAAATGAAATGGTTATTAGATCTCTAAAAGCTCATTTAGTTTTAACATTCTCTAGAGTGTAACATTGGTTGTTAATTTTTGGAGGATAAAATTTCCCTGAATGTATACTTTTGTTTGATTCTTCATTTTCTTTTCTTGTCCAGTATGTCAAGGACATTCTTGAAGAAAGGGTACTGAAGGGTGGTAACAAGAGAAGGACTTGTAGGTGGTATTACGGATTGAAAGTATGTGATGATTTATATAGAGAGAGCAGCCTGAGGCGGAGTTCTTTCCTCTTGCCTGCTTTGGAATGAGATAGAAATAATGATACTAATAGTAGCTGACATAAATTCTTACTACGTGCATGGCACTTTTCTTAGCCATTTATAATTTTTAGCTCTTCTAATCCCACAACAGCCCTCTGAGGCACTGTTATCCCCAGTTTTATATGAGTAAACTAGGGCCCTGGAAAGTTAAGTAACTTGACTACAGTCCACACAACTAGCAAGTGATAGAGCTAGGATTTGATCCCGTTCAGTCCCACTTTGCAGTCTGTACTGTTTGGCCTAGTTTGTGGGTGATTGAACACATTTTTTAGAATTGAAGTATTAATACTACTTGCACTTCACTTTTGCTAGAGGGGTGAACTCTAGTCAAGTCTGTGATGCTTTGGGGATATGAGTTAATTCAATAAATACTGAGCACCTGCTTTGTGCCAGACATGGAAGTGAGTAAGACAGACAAGGTTCCTGCCTTCAGGGATTACATGTTTCAAGGAAAAATTGGACACAAACAAGTAAATAAGGTCATTTCAGATTGTTACCAGTACTGTGAAGAAAATTAACTGGTGTGGTAGATTGCAGGGATGGAGTCCATTGTGTGTGTTTCACAAAGCTTGGTTCATAGACTTAATTGGAGTTGGATACTCTCCCAAACACTTTTCTCTAATTAGCCCATATTGCTGAATTAAAGAATAGTGTTAAATACAAAATGAATTTATTATGCAGCTCTTTAGAGCTATTGTTTATAATCTTTTGAACTCATAATGTGAGAGTTTGTTCTGCTAAAGAAATAGAACCCAGAGAGAGATACCATTTTTAAAATTTCAAAAAACAGTCAAAATGAGGGCAGCCACTGGCCACTGTACATGCCTGGCTGTTTGGGGTAATGGAGGACTCCTGGCTGCTGTCCACTGTGCAGTATTGGCAGTTCTGCTTTTGTTTGAAAGTTTGGGCCACCATGTATGAGCACATGTATTCTTCCACCATTTTTTGTAGGCAGGATCCTCAAGTCATACATTACATGAAAGGAATTTTGATTTCATAGTACTTAATAGCAGCTTTTATATTGAGCACCTTCTATGTTCCAGTCTTATTTATTTGTAAAGAAAGGAGAAAGCTTAAAGGAGTTAAGGACTTGTCCAAGGCTCACAGCTAAAGAATGTTAAAGCAGTGCCACTATATGCAATCATGTCTCAAATGAATTCTACTTTAGAAGAATTTACCAAGAATTAATCAATATGGCATATCTGTATGTGCTATGTTATATTTTTCTCTTCCTCTAAAGACTAAAACCTAATTAGATAATTACCATAATAAAAGTTTTTATTTTGTTCCTTGAACCTGTGTAACTTGGGCTGAAGGAAAATCTATTGCTTGAATAACAGTAGATATATAAGCTTCCTGTGACTCCATTCCCCACCCCCACCCAGGGTCCAGCTCTTGCTAGGGGCGGTGTGATTCAGAGCTCTCATTAAGATAATAGGTGAAAGAGAAAAGCTATTGAAAATAATTAGTGTAATGTGATACTAGTACTGCTGGTCATAACTTCAGTGGGTCAGACATTTGTTTTTACGGGAAAGCATAAGTTACATTGGTATTTGTTTAAGATACTTTCCAATAGTTTTATTAAGAAAAAATAATGTGAAACAAAATTGAAAAAAAAAATTTCTTGGCCTGCAGATTTTTTTTTTTTTGTATTGGTGAACTTTATTGTTTGCCTTTGATGCAAGTTCATAATGGGAAACTGAGTAAGATTATTTTAACTTTTCTTATATTTTCTTAAATAAAATTAAAATTATTAAGCTTCATAGGAGTAAAACTATTAATAAGCCCTATAGTAAGTTTGCTCATAGTACATATGAGCAATTTATCTGACTACCATTGTATATTACTCTGTAGGATTAATTGTAGTCTCTTAGACTGATCCATAAATTAGTTTATAGTTAATTTTTTAAAACATAGGATACCAATATCAAGGTTATATAGCCAGCCAGATGTGGTCAAAAGTTTTAAAATATGTGCTTTATTATTAGTTTTTGGTTCATGACTTGAGTTCTGTTTGCTCTTCTCAGCATCTCTTAGCAGTAGATGCTTTTGTGTTGTTGGTTCTCTAGCAGCCAAGGAAGAGGATGTGCTAAGGCAAAATGACTTTATCACTTAGCGATTTAGCTCCCAGCTTTGTTTATTAGCAGCACAGCGAAGGAGAAAGTGAACAGTGCTTTGTTCTTTAAATTGGCCTGTGTAAGGCATTATTCACATAGGGCTCTGCTTTCTTTATATATAAAACTTTTAATATATTTTCGTATTAACTTAACAGATCCTTCTGCTGAGGAGTTGAGAAAGCTAATGATGTTGCATGGAGGTCAATACCATTTGTATTATTCCAGATCCAAAACAACACACATTATTGCCACAAATCTTCCTAATGCCAAAATTAAAGAATTAAAAGGAGAAAAAGTAATTCGGCCAGAATGGATTGTGGAAAGGTAAGGTTGATTTTTAATTAAATCATTAAGTTTTAAAAATTGGGAATACTTTTTATTTCTATATAAACATTTAACTAACTTACATTGCCTTTTATAGATGAAAAGTAATTAATGTCTTAACACTACTATACTCTTTAACCTCACACTAAGAGAAGTATGTTAGTGTTCTGACAGCCTCAGCTGCCAGGAATTAGGAGAGAGGACTCCTAACGGGAAGCAGTGATGGGAGGGGCTTGACTTAGCATGTTATTCATTCAATAAACACTTGTGCACCTAATATGGGCTAGGCCATGCTGTATGTAATTGGGAAATACCATGAACAAAGATCCCCTCACCTACATCTTTGAGTTTATGTTCTGTTGGGGAAACAGAATAATATGCTTCATATATGAGTAAATTATATGTTAAAAGTTAATACATACTAAGGAGTTAACAGATTGGGTATTCTAGATCCTGAACAACTGAGAGTGGGGACAAGGCAGAAGAACAGTCTGAGGTGTTATCAATGTCTGTTTTTTAGTTCTTATATTATGGTTCCTCTGCTGTTGGTTTGGAAGTGGTATGTTGTAAATCAGTAGTAACCATTCATGTTCATTTCCTAAGTTTAAGTATGTCATCTGGAACCTTGGTAATGAGCCATAACTTAACGTGATTTATAGTTGGCAGTGGTATATAATATATATGAGTGATAGCTAAATTTATGAAAGTTAAAAGTGAAATTATTAAAATAATTTCATGTGTGAATAGATTATAATCAGTATATGAGGGAATGGTCAGATTGTGTAATGGAGTACTAATGAAACTTAGAAATTAATTTTTTTGTCAACTGCCAAGCTTTGTTTTAACCCTAACTGCCTCTAGTTCTGACATCTTCCTTTAGTTTATTCAGCAGATTTAGTACTGCTCAGGATGCCTTTGTACTGCAGATTCAGTAGCATAGGTCTGGGAGAGGCAGGCAGTACGTGGCAGTGAAAGAGGCTGTAGTTGGGCTCTGGGGGCATGTCCAGGTCACATCCAAACTCAGGGATTCTGTTTCCCTGTAATCTTGTGTAACTTTGAGAACAGTAATACAGTTATTTGAACCTTGTTTTGTCATTTATAAGTGAAGGTGAATATCTGCCTCCTATGATTATGTAAGAACCAGAATAATTTGTGCAAACTACGTAGCACAATGCCTGGCACATTGTAGAGGTGTAATATATGAGAAGTTAATGTTTTATTTTTATTCTGTAAACATTAGCCAGTATTAGAAAATAAATTCCAAAAGGTCAAAAGTGCATTTTTAAAAACAGTGCTTTTGGTTCCAGAAAGCCAAATGTATTTTATAGTTGAAGGATTTCTTAAACCTTGGAGGATTACTTGGAATGCCTGCCCCTAGAACACCTCCCTGATTGCTTGCACTGAGTTCTCATGACCTAGCCACTGTCCGTTCATTATATAGGATCCGTGAATATGGCTTTTAGCTGTGTGTCTCCTTAGAAAGTTGTGATATCTTTAGTACCAGAAGTTAATACCATTCCAGAGTTCAGCCAGACACTGTTACTTACAGGCAGTCCTCTTGTTGCATTAGGGTTAGAATCTCGGTTTGAGGATCAAAGAGCTAAAACAGGAGGATTCAGAATCCAGATTCTTTAAAGTCCTTTTTGGGCCTGCTATTTGCCATTTGATTAACCTTGTTATAGATGAATTGACCCATGTGGAAATGGCTCCATCTGGGCATATATCTTAATACATAAATGCCCAGTGTCTACTGTGTCGTAGCATAGAATCCTTTTAGTTGAATCACAGTACTGTTCTCTTTCATGCTGTAATCCTAATCTTGTTCATCTCTTCTTCTCTTCTACTGTTTTAATGAATTTTATTCTATTTAAAATTTTGAGCAGTAAATTAGCTATTTAATGGATGATACATGAAATTCTTTTCTATAAATAGTTTTTCTGTTTTTAGTTTGAGGAGTTTAAAAAGCAGCCACCACTTGAGTCTCTGGGGTAGTTATTCTGCTTTGATGAGAATTATCCAGTGTCTGTGTATGTGCCATTAAACCTGAGTTAACTGTTGCATGATAACAGACCATGACTTCTAAAGAGGCAGGGGAGCCTCTTAATGAGAAGCTTCTGTGCATTAGTTTAAAGCATGCGATTATTTTACGGAAACCCTTGCCTTGTAAATCTTACACTTGCATGTTAGTGACGTTCAGATTTTTGTCATAACCCGTTTCTTCAGACAGTCTTACACTGAGATTTTTTTTTTAGCTTTTATATAGCTAGATTTAAAAAAAAATTTTTAAGATATCATTGATATATACTGCTTATGAAGGTTTCACAAGGAAAAAACAATGTGGTTATTACATTCACTCTTATTATTGAGTCTCCCCCATACGTCATTACAGTCACTGTCCAGCAATGTAGTAAGATGTCACAGAGTCCCTTTTTGTCTTCTCTGAGCCACACTGCCTTCCCAGTGACCCCACACACACTATGTGCACCAATCATGATACCCTACAATCCCCTTCTACCTTCCTCCCCATCCGCCCTCCCCCACCTCTCCCCTTTGGTAACTACTAGTCCCTTCTTGGAGTCTGTGAGTCTGCTGCTATTTTGTTCCTTCAGTTTTACTTTGTTATATTACACTCCACAAATAAGTGAAATCATTTGGTATTTGTCTTTCTCTGCCTAATTTATTTCACTGAGCATAATACCCTCCATCTCCATCCATGTTGTTGCAAATGGTAGGATTTGTTTCTTATGGCTAAATAGTATTTCATTGTGTATATGTACCACCTCTTCTTTATCCATTCATCTACTGATGGACTCTTAGGTTGCTTCCATACCTTGGCTATTGTAAATAGTGCTGTAATAAACATAGGAGGGCATATGTCTTTTTGAATCTGAGAAATTATATTCTTTGGGTAAATTCCTAAGAGTGGAATTCCTGGGTGAAATGGTATTCCTATTTTTAATTTTTTGAGGAACCGCTATATTGCTTTCCACAATGGTTGAACTAGTTTACATTCCTACCCTTTCTCTGCATCCTCGCCAGCATTTGTTGTTCTAGTCTTTTCTTTGTGGGCCATCCTAAGTGGTGTGAGGTGATCCATTATTCTGGTTTTAATTTGCATTTCCCTGATAATTAGCGATGTGGAGCATCTTTTCATGTGCCTGTAGGCCATCTGAATTTCTTCTTTGGAGAAGTGTCTGTTCATATCCTCAGTGAATTTTCTAATAGGATTATTTGCTTTTTGGGTGTTGAGGTGTGTGAGTTCTTTATATATTTTGGATGTTAACCCCTTGTCAGATACGTCATTTACAAATATATTCTCCCGTACTGTAGGATGCCTTTTTGTTCTGCTAATGGGGTCCTTTGCTGTACAGAAGCTTTTTGGCGTGATGTAGTCCCATTTGCTCATTTTTACTTTTGTTTCCCTTGCCCAAGAAGATGCGTTCAGGAAAAGGTTGCTCATGTTTATACTTAAGAGATTTTTGCCTATGTTTTCTTCTAAGAGTTTTATGGTTTAATGACTTACATTCAGGTCTTTGATGCATTTTTAGTTTACTTTTGTGCATGGGGTTAGACAGTAATCCAGTTTCATTCTCTTGCATGTAACTGTCCAGTTTTGCCAACACCAGGTGTTGAAGAGGCTGTCATTTCCCCACTGTATAGCCATAGCTCCTTTATCATATATTAACTGACCATATATGCTTGGGTTTATATCTCGGCTCTCTATTCTGTTCCATTGGTCTATGGGTCTGTTGTTGTGCCAGTACCAAATTGTCTTGATTATTGTGGCTTTGTAGTAGAGCTTGAAGTTGGGGAGCATAATTCCTCCGGCTTTATTCTTCCTTCTCTGGATTGCTTTGGCTATTTGGGGTGTTTTGTGGTTCCATATGAATTTTAGAACTATTTGCTCTAGTTCATTGAAGAATGCTGTTGGCATTTTGATAGGGACTGCATTGAATCTGTAGATTGCTTTAGGCAGGATGGCTATTTTGAGAATATTAATTCTTCCTATCCATGAGCACCTGATGTGTTTTCATTTATCGGTATCTTCTTTAATTTCTCTCATGAGTGTCTTGTAGTTTTCAGGGTATAAGTGTTTTCACTTCCTTGGTTAGGTTTATTCCTAGGTGTTTTATTCTTTTTGATGCAGTTGTGAATGGAATTGTTTTCCTGATTTCTCTTTCTGATAGTTCATCGTTTGTGTACAGGAATGCAACAGATTTCTGTGTATTAATTTTGTTTCCTGCAACTTGGCTGAATTCAGATATTAGATCTAGTAGTTTTGGAGTGGATTCTTTAGGGTTTTTTTAGGTACAACATCATATCATCTGCAAACAGGGACAGCTTAGTTTCTTCCTTGCCAATCTGGATGCCTTTTATTTCTTTGTGTTCTCTGATTGCCGAGGCTAGGACCTCCAGACATATGTTGAATAAAAGTGGGGAGAATGGACATCCTTGTCTTGTTCCCGATCTTAAAGGAAAAGCTTTCAGCTTCTTGCTGTTAAGTATGATGTTGGCTGTGGGTTTGTCATATATGGCCTATATTATGTTGAAGTACTTGCTCTCTATACCCATTTTGTTGAGAGTTTTTATCATAAATGGATGTTGAATTTTGTTGAATGCTGTTTTGGCATCTATGGAGATGATCATGTGGTTTTTGTCCTTGTTGCTGTGGTGGATGATGTTGATGGATTTTCGAATGTTGTACCATCCTTGCATCACTGGAATAAATCCTACTTGATCATGATGGATGATCTTTTTGATGTATTTTTAAATTTGGTTTGCTACTATTTTGTTGAGTATTTTTGCATCTATGTTCATCAGGGATATTGGTCTGTAATTTTCTTTTTTTGTTGTGTCTTTGCCTGGTTTTGGTATTAGAGTGATGCGGCCTCGTATAATGAGTTTGGGAGTATTCCTATCTCTTCCAATTTTTGGAAAACTTTAAGGAGGATGGGTATTAGGTCTTCAATAAATGTTTGATAAAATTCAGTAGTGAAACC